CGTGAGCAATGGTGGGTAGCGAAAAAAGAGATGGAAAAGGCAGCAGCGATAGGTAACAGTAGACAACTGTTCAGACTTATCAAGGAAACGGGTATTAAAAATTCAGTTATTAGCGAAACTCTCGGAAAATGATGAGACTATTATTCATTCTTAATCCAGGAGATTAGACCGATGGGCAGAACACTTTAGGAAACAGTCTAACTGGCCTTCAGCCACACTTTATTTGCCCACTATCTTCAAGCAACCTGAATGGGAAACTGATGTACGTTCTCCAACTCTTGGTCAGGTTGAAAAGGTCGTCAGTAATCTAATGCGAGTAAAAGTAGCAGGGCCTGATGAACTAACCACTGAGATTTTAAGGAAGGTGATCTACTTTTAGCAGTTAGATTAATTTAAATCTAAGCTAAGATTCGGAAACTGGACGTAGTACCATTTGACTGGTCTCGATCGCTGACCGTCCCAATTTATAAGAAAGGACAAAAATCCTCTTGCTACAATCACAGAGTAATCAGTTTAACTAATACAGTGTCTAAAATACTAGCCTCAATAATGCTTTGGAGTGTAACTAGAGCTTGTGAAGAGCAAACCCGATAAAGGAGACTGGTTTCAGACCTGGACGTGGATGTATAGACTAAATATTCACCCTACGACAAAGTATAGAACATAGACATACTTTTCGACATCCAACTATAGTTGTATTTCTTGACCTTGAGACTGCGTTTGACTACGTTAATCGTGAGGCTCTGTGGCAGTGTCTGTCATTGAAAGGCATGCCAAGGAAGTACAGTAACCTTGTTTAACCACTCTAGGGGGACGCGACTTGTTGAGTCAGAGGTTATGGCAAACTTTAACCGGAATTGGTTACTCGCAGTGGTGTTCGTCAAAGTTGTATGCTTTCTCCATTTTTGTTTAACTCTGTCATAGACATACTTTTAGAGATAACACTTTCATCGTCTGACGTCTCAGGGTATGTTCCTCCACCAGGAGATACACTTGCTGACTTAAAGTACGCAACTGATGTATTTCTGTTTAGTGAAGACTCAGTCAAAACTCAGTCGTCTGACTACCTTAAGCAACACTGCATGCATGTTTTGAATGCAGCTTCCTCCAAATGCAAATTGTTACTTCAGGACTGATAGAGAGTAAAGTAGTTGAACCGACTGACTGCTTCACTTATCTTGGAAGTCCCATCAGTACTGATGATCTGGTGTCTGACGAAACCTCGGCACGGATTCAGAAGGCTCAATTGGTCTTTCCCAACTAAAGTCACTTGTAGTGTAAGCGAGATATCCGTCTTTTAAACAGAGGGCGAGTTTACTGCTCAGCGGTTCGCTCCGTTCTGCTTTATAGATGTGAAACATGGTAATTAATAATAGAGGATATTCATAGGTTACTGGCACTCGTTCATAGATGTCTACAAAGGATTGCTCGTGTATTTTGGGACTACGAAGCAAGCAATGGCCGGGTTAGGAATAGAGCAATAGGCAAAGACGGGGAATCGATTAATGAAGTATTAAGTCTTCATAAACTGAGGTAGTTGGAACGTGTGATATGCATGCCCAGTCACCGCTTACTTTGACGGACGATGTTTTCCGGTGCGAGAGTAGACTGGAGGATAGCCGGGGGTGGCTAAATGAAAGCGTGGCACGAGTCCACGACGCATTATAGACTACTATTTATAAAAAACTTCGCGATATACTGACCTCATTAAGAAACAATGGAGGAACAAATAAGGAATGAACCACGGAATATAAATTCTCCATTTGATTTCGTATTCTGTACTTAGGCTAATCCTGTTTAAGCAACGGCGGTAATAAACTTCAAATACGAATTAAGTTCGAAGAACGTTTTTCAGACATTCCTTTATTCAGACGGGCGATGAAAGATGTGAAACGGAAAAGGGAAACGTGCCTACTCAATTCCATTAAAATATGAGTTAATACATACGAGTATGAAAGATTTAAGCAAGTATATATAGACATATATACAACCATACACACATCTCACGGTCACATTTGTAAATGAAAAATGAGTGGGAAGATCGGAATAGATTCATCTATCCAAAAGTTAGCATGAATTATGCAAGCATGTAACGATACTAACTGCTACAAACTATGTATACCACTGTATAGCTTAAGCAAATGACATAGTCGAAAGGAAAATTCTATTCCTTCAATTGTCTCTAATTCTTTAATGACACAATGGGTTTCTTTATTTGACCTTTCGGATACTAAAATGAATGGCACAACACAAATATCAACTGGACGAACCCAGGCAGACAGCGGTGGATGACCTTCAGAACAGGGTGTATGTAATTGATAATGATCCGGTGTTTTTGACTGCTATCTGAATTTTTGAACGATTGCAAAGAGCATATTCTTCACATTCATCTATATTAGCAAGATGTGTTACTAATGCGAATAACATTGCAACTTTGTTTTCTCGACCTCGGTTAAGTATTTGAAGAGTGTAATACTAATATGAATAAAAACCAGTTTAAACGCGTCTTATTTTGATATCAAATATCCAACCATATATTAATGTATTATCATGGATTCTCAGAATCTTCATAAATTGGGATTTGTCCATTTGTCGAGTTTTTGGCTTCATTTTGATGAGATTTTTTCACACTTCCTGCTCCATGTCATAAGTATTAATTTGGACAGTAAATAGTGACTTCCAGACATACTAGACGATTTTAACTTTGATTTTTTAAAGTACTTGGCTGTTAACTAGACGCAGATTCTACTTAGTGTTATAATCCAATTTGACTATGTGATCACAGTTTGCTCTTAACTGGATGACTCATTAATACTAATACTATACTGCATAGGAATATAAGAATAAGAATATTGGAAATGGGTTTTACGCAAGTCACTTGATTATGTGTTTCACACATCATAATGAAGTGCATAACAGATAGTTAATAGGTTGAGAATCAATTGAAAAAAATGAGATAACACCTTATTAATCAGTGACGAAGAAATCAGTCCACTGTTCATCACTATAGTATAGGTAGCCTGGTTGTATCGTCAATCTGCACACTTGAGATGTGTCTCTAAGCTGAATATACGAATCTCGACTCATAAAATGAACTAAATTAAAGATTTTAGACCTTAGAAATTCACATAGTTATGTATCTGCGTTAGAATAAATTATATTTGTAGTTAGGTTGTACTCGACTTTTGTTCACTGGATCTGTGTTCAACACAGACACATACTTTCAATTTTGACTGATAGGTGCGTTATCATTGTCCTCATACAATAGGTGTGGCATATAGTCTAGAGCTTAGACACTAATGTGGCTTCTGAGTCTCACTCACTGCTCTGCTATAAATGTAAGCTCACTACTTCCTCTTTATAATACAAGTTTCTTCCTGTATGAAATAAAAAAAATTGACATAAAATTGTTTTTTTAGTGTACTATGGTTAAATACTCATTTTTTTGTTGACTTTAAGAAAATACCTATTTATTTTTATTACTTAACACTAGGGTGTGGTACCCGTGAGGTAGTGTTCTTTTCTTTTATGTAAAATAAGGGAGTTGAATGTGTGTATTTAATCCATATAGACCATATATCCCCTTTCATGATGATCCTTTTTTTTATTTCAGAAAATTTCATCATTGGCTTCGTCTTCTCTTATTTTATCAGAATTGGAAATTTTAAACTTTAATTGTTTTCTTCCAGTCCCTTTGTGATGTAGTTGTTAAAGTATTTTCTAGCACCATCCCATTACAAGCCAACTAACTTGGTTGTACATATTTGTGTGTAATGTAGTTACTAATTATATTCATATATATACACAGGATTCGAATGTAGATAATGATAAACTTGCTTACAGTGGTCTTCAATATTCTTACTATATATATATATATATATATATATATATATATATATATATATATATATATATATATATATATATATATATATATATACAAAAGTTGTAAGGAAAGTTATGCATCGTTATTTGTACCATACAGAGGAACCTGGTATCATCGAACTTGAATAAAGTATTCTGTAGCTCATACGGAGATCGTTTCATAATTGCAAAGAAAAGTTATATTTGATCTATACTGGGTGTTTTGAACGCTCTACAGTCTGGGTTTGCAGAATAACATGAGTTCATCATATTTCAAAGTTTCTTATCAGTTTCAAATGGTTTAAACTTTAGTATTATCATTATAAAAAATTTCTCGCTTTACGCTAAATTTATCAAGGAATAAGGATATGTGTAAGTTCTACAGTTAGTCTAAATAAATTACTTTATAGCCATTTATAGTTATAATTCCTGGTTGATTACTTAATTCGTGGATGCGAGGATTTCAAAAGTAATTTGTAGAATGATTGTAGTCTTGTAAAATAATTAGTTTTCCTCCTTACATGGTATACTCCTAATGTGCAACACTTAATGTTTCAAAGATTCTTTGATTTCTTCTAGTTATAATAATGCGTCACTGTAAAGTGCCCCTAAAATTTTTACTACATACTGATCGAGTTCACGGAAATGCTTGCTTCAGACTACTGCCTGCCTGTACCATTGAATCAAATTGATTCTGTGTTTGAAAAGTATTAAAGGGTTTTAAGGGATTGTTGAAGCGTTTGGTAAGCAAGTGAAGGAAGTAAAAAGATTAGAATGTTATATCACTCTGCTTCAAACTCTTGATGGAATCACCAAGACCGAGAGAAGTGACGCGCGATACCTCAAAACTCAGGTAGACTAGGTCGATATTTATTCTGAATAAGTAGGAAAAACAACAAAGATATTCCGGTAGTTACTATAAGATAAAGTAATAGCCTTTGACTATGGAGTTTCCTGTTAGAAGATCCACTAAACACAGTAAACTCAATATTACTCAAATTAACTGACAACAACATTGATCGGTAGATGATCTCAACTAATATGAGTTTATTTACTCTGAAAAACCAATCTCGAAAGTAGACTAAATTAGTATTTTAACATTTATTTTAAGACGCTCATTTTCTTATTTTTGACAGTTTCAAATCAACCAACTTCATTAAGTGTACAATATTGTGGTATGAATTCATGTCGGTTAACATGGCTTCCACCGAAAGAAGGTTATGAATGGGGTACATTAATTGAATATCGTGTCTTCTATTGGAAACAGGTGACACCAAATTTAGTTATTAATATCACAGTACAAGCAAATGTTCAAGACTGTTTATTATCACAGTTGGAGAGTGGGACTATCTATTATGCAAAAGTAAGTTATCTACTGTTAAACTTATATTGTAGTCTCACTGTGTAAATAACGTTGTAATTAGTTGATATTTATTCAGTTCACATTCATATCATAAGTGAAGGTTCTGTTCTTGTGTAAATAAGGCATATAATGTCTCTATTTTCGGCTGCAATTAAACGCAACTCGATTTCGTAAACGTGGCAGTCAGCTTAGCGACCAATCAGAATGAAGCGGGAATTATTGTATCCGCCATCTTTGTAAGCAATAGCGGTCGGCTTTCCTCTTTCTGCTTTTTCAGCTATTTCTTTTGAGTAGCTACATAATTTAATGTTTCAGTGTGCTAAAATGTGGCAGTTAGTGTAATATTCTAAATGTTGGCGCAAATTTTCTTTGATTCAGCATTGTTTTCTGGGTTTTTATGCTGCTACTCAAATCAATGTATTTCTTCAGGCAAGCTGGCTAGTCTTATGTTATAAAATGTTAATCCGCCTCGTTTTGAGTATTATTTTTTCAGAGAAAAATTCACATCATAATCTAGTTATTTAATTAAAAAATAAATTATAACATGACAAATTCTGTTATTACATGAAAGTGAACATGACCGTTATTACGGTTTACGTGGAAACGTTGCGTATAAATCCACCCCTATTTCCTATATCTGAATTTCAAGGTTGATACGGACTATACTAACTACTACATATTTTCTTGGTAATACTTTACATTTAAATAAACTTCGAGTTATGTACAAATCTGCAATATTTCTAGTGCAAATTTATAATAAGACATTTAGTAAACATACATTTTTGTATCAGGGGGGAGGGTGGCGTTGTGACACAGTTAATCATCAGACTTAAGTATGTAACTTATGTATGTAACCTTAACTAATTAAGCCGCACCCCTATATTGTTTCATTAATAATAGTTAGTCATTTTTGACTAATTCAACTTTCCTTTTTTATCTCATTATGTATAATATTGTTTTGTGATTGACCTAATTCTTTGAAATTGCTTTCACTTTTTTTTTATAAAAAATAAACTTAACGCATGTAACGCTTAGGTTCAAAGTGTATTTACCTATGGTTCTGCGAGCTCAGAGATTATAACATTTAATACATTAACTCAGTTCAGTGTTCAATTAGTCAATCGCTCATATTCAGAAATTATGATTCAGTGGAATTTCAATCAAATAGCATCAATGTTTACTGTACGTTTTGTTTTGCCTTTTTTAAATAGAAGTTTTTGTAATGTTTTTATGAAACGTAGATATATTACTTAAATTATGATCATGATAAATATTTCAAGTGCTTCTCGTACACAAGCGTTGATTGATATGAATAAAGCATTGTATAGATTATATAACAAAATAACATGGTCTGATGTTAGTGATTTCTGTCAATTTTAACCGCGTGGTTAAACTACCTATATGTAGGAGGAAGAAAAATACTGTATATAATGTCTTATTGTTAAAAGTAAAAAATAGCTTTAAAACTCGTGGCCTAACAAAGATATGCCGGCGATAACTTTGGCTGGATTAATAGTCTACTTATACAAAGAATAATTTTAATTTATTAAGTTGTTCATGCATGTTGGAAGTACTTTTTCTATGTATTATCACTAGTTTACATCAATAAGGGGGTTACTTAAAACAATGAAGTACACATCCACCACTCTTTCTGGAGTTCGAACCTTTAACCTTAACATTTCCTGACAAGTGTGATATTTTCAAATGATTAAATCAGAAGCGATTAACAGTGTTACATAATATTGAAGTTATTTTGACTACCCTCTGTTTTTTTACCTGTTTCTTTTGTAATAATAAAACTCACCTAGGGAAGTTGGTAATAACAAAATTTTTAAGCTGGTCTGTCTTGTAAGCTATCTATTATTTTAATTGTATTGGTTGTGTCGTGGTTATTGTCTTAATGATTAATTATACCCCTAGTTAAATTTAATTACAACTCCAATTAATATTCGAAAAAATGAACCTGGTCTAAGCTATATCTGTTTTTAATTTATAGTATTTTATAATTTACAGTTTTCCCTCGTTTACCATTTAGTAATTGCATTTTAATCATTTATATCAATGTAACCATAGTGATTTTGTTGCCATTAGTGATAATTACAGTGAACAGTTAATTACAGTTTATTTTAGTCTCGTTATTTGTAAAAAAAGAATAAAACTAACTGTTATTTGACCTTGGATTGTATAATACTTTCGTACTGTTTGACTCTAAAGTAGTTATACACTATTATTTCTTTTTTTACGACATTAACTATGAGGAATATTAAACTAAAATTTATTAAGTCTTAATAAATAATCTAATGATATCAAGGAACTTATTTTAGTGAGTCATATTTTGGATGTAACCTTCAAATATTTGTGTAACTCATCAATATGCATACATATATGTACACAATTCATCTTGCATACATATAAATGGGTGGAATCTATATTTAAACATTCGATTGTATTAAATCTCATCTCTTTCATTGAATGATTGAATCCGAGTGTTATTATTTAAATGAATAATATGAATGAACTTTCTATAGTTTTCTTTTTATTTACAAATATGTATTGGAAACAAAATGTCTGTTTTATTGTTTGCTGACTTGTTTATTGAAATATATATATATTATTTTATTGAGGATGAGAATTGGCATATTTTAATTAATTATAAATGAAATGCGATTTTATAATAAAAACATACGGTATTGATAATAAGCGTGTATTTAAAACAAAAAATAAACGGATTCTATAAAAATAGGCTGAAAAAATTATGGATTTGTGTTTGTGAATCAATATTGATTGGCTATATCATGTTTAGAGATTTATTAAACTTGTAGATCATTAACGTTGATGATTTTTGTCGAATGAGTTGGAGGGGGGGGCTAATCAAGTTAGACGAGAATGGTATGACCAATAGCTAACTTCGAAGTTACACCTCGCAGTCAACCCTAACGTGGTTTATTCCTTAGTCATATCAAGGTATTGTTGCGGCTTTAAAGACAGTATAACACGAAAGGACGTTATTACAGTATGTACGAGCGAAAGTGTGATCACCATCACGTGGGCCAATCCATGGCATACGATTAACTGATGCGCTTTGGTTGTCCTTGATCTTGACAGGAATGGATGATCTGTTCAATATTCATTGACCCAACTGCCGGGTGATTTGGCTAGGGCTCGGTACCATTCCACTGGCCCTACAAACTTAATTAATGTCTGTATTGGTTGAATTAGCTATTTGGTTAAAATCTCTGTATTTTTTATATTTGTTGATTTGATTTTAAAAAAGCATTGAATTTAACTGGATGATTGATTGAGATAGTGAAAACCTGAGTTTTTGGAGACTATTGTACCACCGGCATCAGGGGATTGAACATCGAAAGCTGACTGCTAGACAGTTGTCGAATTCACTTAACTCATTGTGTTTTAGTTTTTTGTGATTAATTGCAGGGGATTGTCGGAATGTTCTCAACCAAGGTTTTCTTTTTATTAATAAAACATCTACAATCCAAGCGAAATCAATCCTTTCTCAAAGATATGGGCTTACTGAACCAGGCAATGTTATCATCAGAGGTACTCAAGTCACAGCTGACAACTTGTTGATGAAATGATTCATCATATTTTTCTGTCATTAGATCGTAACTAGTGAATGTTATGCAAAGTTCACAAATCTCATAAAGCAAATATCTCATCAAAGAGAATCTTTGTTTTCAATAGACTATACAACCGTATTCATGTGAAATAGTTGCTTTGTCTACATGTTTATATGTATGTTTTTGTATATAATGAGTAGAATTTGTTGAGTTCGGTTCATAGTAGCGGATACAACTGATTTACAAATGAAGTCATCTGACAGTTGAAAAAAATATAGGAGACTTAAGGTCAAAGATATAAGTATGTGGTGAATGTTTATGATGAATAACATTTAAGGTTAATAATAATGATAGAGAGGAACGGAAATAGCTAAGTTTGGTGAAATATGTTCGAATAAAATGCATCATAAGGAAAAAATCACAGATCATTTTAAGGTGATTCAGGACTCAAAAAAAATGTGTTAAACAGTAACTAAATGGAAGAATATAAAAAGAAAGCTTAAAAAAAACTAATGCTCATGATAATATAGATGATTGTAAAAACTTCCATAGAATAGATGGATTGTGGCCAACAGTAAAATCAAGTACTCATGTTTAGTCCATTATGAAGCCCACCAACTCTATGTACTTTCATTTCAGTGTTAATGTTCCCACCAGCACTGGAACCCAGTACCCTTCGCCACAAACATTAACGTGTTATCCTTTAAACTGTGGAGTTTAATCAGCTACTCACTTGTTCAAGGGGAGTGATGTGCGTACCATTTTTGTGAGATTTTGAATTATTTTTTTGTTGATATTTAGGACTGATTTTTAGTCAGTCTTTATTGACGAATGCGCATCCTTTACGGATAGTATATAAGCTGTTTCTGGATGCATAGATTTGCTTATAGTAGATTATCTAATGATTCTAAAATATAAAGTCGATTTATGTGTTACACTTTTCAACTAATTAGATTTGATTTTATAGATAATATGAAATAATGATGAAACTGATGTTACGTGGTTGATAACCAACTACATGTTACAGAATAGATTTTATAATTCTGCGTTGCCCCGTAATGATCCATGCTAGGCATTTGGCCTTTAATGCACGGGGAAATATATATATATATACCTTATTTAAAGTATTTTATTTAAGTGAGGGTATAACACCCGTCCGATTACAACCTAGTTTAAAATAGCTATTTGATTTATATGCATCGTGATAAAAAATATCTTCAGATAGGATTGCGTAATACCATATATTTTAAACATATTCTTATGTTTATCTAACGACCACATTCAAAATGATTTCTCGGAGCTTCTAGTGGGGGGTTGTAATCTATGGAGTAAACCAGCTCGGCAAGTGAGCTACATTTACCCAACAAATTTTATTAATGAATAAGTATTGTGGGATATTGCTAACTGACTGAGGCTGCGGAGTTTGGGACAGTAGGTATCAACTTATTGATTGAGTGGTGTAGTGTTCCCCACAGAATCTAGATGATACTATTAAGTTAGTTCAACCTAAGGCAAATCAGCTATCTAGTACTTCTTGGTTTTCAGAGTTTCTTCAGTCGCTGACATCTTATAACAAGAATCACTACCAAACATGATAGTACTATTTTATAAAATGTGATAACATATTTTGTTCACCCTTTTTTGGTTACCTTTTTCTTTCTAACTACACATTATGGAAACGTTAAGTAAGCTACTCAGTAAAAATTGGACCTGAATTTTTCTAAATTGATTTTGACTACATCTGTGGAGTGTATGTAGATGATACTGTTACATATAGGACTATTCCTGATAATAATTCATATGATTGTATTCAGTTTTATTTTACAATCACAATGATTATTTGTCTATATTGTATATTATTTACTCTATAATGTTTGTTAACCAATTAAGTGATTACTTAACTCCGTAAATTTTGTTTAAATATGTAATCAAAGTACATTTTCTTTAATGATGATTACACAGTATAGGAGCTGATTGATGCTTGTATTATTTTGCCGTTGTGACTAGCTACTAATAAAGATAGGATTTCCTTCTATTCACTCCGGTGCAATTTACTTAATACGAGTGTTTTTGCGTGTGTACATGTAGTGGCTTTGCTTCGTTAATCGATCACCTCGATAACCGTTACAATATAAATCTCAACAGTGTTTCAAATCAAAAGGCAATGAGAAGTGGCAACTACAGTTTATTAGCGGATAGCGTAGATCACAAAGCTGCAAGCACATCAAGCGAACTTAAAGCGGAGAAGCGAATAAGTATATGCGACCAATTACATAGGTAAATTTATAATCAAATCACATAAGGGCACAGCAAGGAAAAGCAAAAGCTAATGATAGGATTTGAATAAATACATATATAGGGAAGAGGATGAATCATCGAGTGATGATATTTAAGCGATCAACATTTTTAGCTAGAGCCTGTCATGTGATCTAGTGATCATAACGGTACAAAGAAATATGCGATCTGTTACTGTTCAATTAACATTATCTGTTAAGTAGTTGAATAAAAGTGCTTAACCAAAATTGACCGTAATCGAAATTGGTTGTAGGATAGTTTCTATATGTATTTATGTATTTGTAAAAATGCCGTAACAAACATTCTATATTAATATGATTGGACTGTATAGAAAATTAAACTGAAAACTGTTAGTCTTTTCTTTCCGAATAATAGATTTTGTGACATAAACTATTACAGAAAAGATAGTTTCAGAAAAGTAATGAACATTTACTTCGGGATTATTTATTTGATAATTCATAGGACGACGTTAGTATATTAAAGCTGTTCGATATAACTACTGAAAAAATGAGTTTGGTTGGTTATTTTTTCTCTCTCCGTCTCCGACTTGACTTTACACTGAATTAACTGATTACATCTGGTGTGATGGAAACCCTCTATTTTCATGACACCCATGTTATGATTAAATATTAATGATAATTTAGTGCTTAGTCAGTAACAACTAGCTTCCAGAATAAATCACAAGTTAGACGAGTAACTTTTACTTGTGTTGGGGGTAAAGGCTGTTTCCCATTGATGGAAATGAACGATGACTGTGTTGTTATACATTGAAAGGTTTTAACTACAAGGGAGGTCAGTCCCGGGTCGAATAGCTTAGTGATAGCATCTTAATCTGTAAAAATACGTAACTTGAGTTTGAAACATTTGGAGATTATGAGGGAGTACGCCCTGCGAGTGAATATCAACTAGAGTATCCTACCAACTATCTCCAACTTTACTCTCCATCTGCTGCATCGCAAAACTTCTTCCACATGTTTTTATCCATGAGCACTGTGACATCGTCCGGTTTATCTGTCGCTGGTGCCTCACAAAACCTTAGGTCCGAGGCAGCACCAATCGACTGAATCTCCATTAACAGTTGATTATTTGCTGTTAGATTAGAAGGCTCCAGCAAAGTAGTAAGAAATCGGTATGATAAACGAAATCTTTTAGTCATTTCTGCATACGTTACGACAGATTGCAGCTCGGATGCAACTAAAGATGAGTTTTACCATCAGTTAAGTTTTCTTCTACAAAAAAAGGTTCTACTGATATTTTAGGGAATTAGGCTCACAGGTCAGGCACCTAGGCGTAGAGAAGATTCGTTTGAGTAGTTGATGGTGACTTGTTGGTCACGGGTCAGATAACAGTGTCAGTCTACTGTAACTTTCCTCAGACAACAACCTCGTTCTGTCCAGCGACCTACTAGTTAAGTAGCTGACTGAGTTCTTTGCGTGTATCTAGAAATTAGAGTGTTCCAACATCGATATTTGTAGTAGTAGGGTTCATGTCACCCATTTGGTCCCTTTATTATTGAGGCTACTCGTAAATATTTAAGTAGCTGAAAATGTATATCACAATTTTGCGTGTGCGTTAAACATGGTTACATTGCCATCAGATGTTTGTCCATTTTCCAAATTTTTATTTATTTGTATATATATTACTTGCGCCTGTTACTCCTAATGAAGCATAGGCCGCCGACCAGCACTCTCCAACCCACTCTGTCCTGGGCCTTCTTTTCTAGTTCCATCCAATTCTTCTCCATTTCCCGGCGTAATGTATTCTTCGATCTTCCTCTCGTCCTTCGGCCTTGAGGATTCCATGTGATGGTTTGTCTTGTGACGCAGTTCGGTGATTTCCTCAATGTGTGTCCTATCCAATTCCGGTGCTTCTTCCTGACTTCTTCCTCCACGGGGATCTGATTTGTTCTCTCCCACAGTAGGTTGTTGCTTATAGTGTCCGGCCAGCGGATCTGAAGTATTTTGCGTAGACAACTGTTAATAAACACCTGTATCTTTTGGACGATGGATTTCGTAGTTTTCCAGGTTTCCGCCCCATACAGTAGAACTGTTTTGACATTTGTATTGAAAATTCTGACTTTGGTGTTGGTTGCCAATTGTTTTGAGTTCCAGATGTTCTTCAGTTGTAAATATGCTGCTCTTGCTTTGCCGATCCATGCCTTCACATCTGCATTAGATCCACTGTGTTCATCGATGATGCTGCCCAAATATGTGAAGGTTTGTACACCTTCCAAATCTTCTCCGTCAATTGTGATTGGCTTGGTGCATGCAGTGTTGTATCAGAGAATCTTGCTTTTCCCTTTGTGTATATTGAGACCTATTGCTGCTGAGGCTGCTGCTCTACTGGTTGTCTTCTCCTGCATATGTTGTTGCGTGTGCGATAGAAAAGCAAGTTCATCTGCGAAGTCTAGATCATCCAGCTGCATCCTAGATGTTCACTGTATCCCGTGCTTCCCTTCAGATGTTGACATCTTCTTGATCCGGTCGATCACCAGGAGAAAGAGAAAGGGTAAGAGTAAGCAACCTTGCCTGACATCGGTCTTTACTTCGAACGACTTTGTCAACTGTCCTCCATGCACGATTTTGCAGTTTAATCCATCATAGGAATTCCGTATGATATTGACTATCTTCTGAGGCAGGCCGTGGTGTCGAAGAAGCTTTCATAGCGTTGTTCTGTCCACGCTATCAAATGCTTTTTCGTAGTCAATGAAGTTGATATAGAGTGATGAATTCCATTCAATTGATTGTTCCACAATGATCCGTAGAGGTGCGGTTCGTTCTGTACACGACTGATCCTTACGGAACCCTGCCTGTTGGTCTCGAAGTTGTGCGTCTACGGAGTCCTTCATCCTGTTTAACAATACCCTGTTGAAGACTTTTCCTGGTATTGAGAGAAAAGTGATTCCCCTGTAGTTGTCACAGTTGCTGAGATCGCCTTTCTTTGGTATTTTGAACAGAAGTCTTTCTTTCCAGTCTTTTGGTACCTGTTCCTCATCCCAAATCTTTCTGAAGAGAGTTTGGAGTATCCTTGCGGTTACCGCCACGTCTGCTTTCAGTGCCTCTGCTGGAATGCTGTCTAGTCCTGCTTCTTTGCCACACTTGATTTGTCTGATAGCCATGCTGATATTTTCAATTGTTGGTGGGCCACCAACGATTGGGCGGTCCGTGAGTGCTGCTTCGATGTTGGGTGAGTTCAGTGTGGCTGGTCGATTCAAAAGTTCTTTGAAGTGTTCTACCCACCTGTTTCGTTGTTCTTCAATGTTGGTGATTATCTTGCCTTCCTTGTTTTTCACTGGTCGTTCTGGTTTATGGTGATTTCGAGAAAGTTTCTTTGTTGTGTCATACAGTTATCTCATGTTTCGTCCATCACTGCTAAATCTTCCACATATTTACGTTTGTCAGTTCTGATCCTCCTCTTCACTTGCTTGTTTACTTCTGTGTATTCAGCTTGTGCCTTGGCTTTTTCTGCTCTTGTTCGGCTGGTATTGATTGCTGTCTTCTTGTTCCTCCTTTCTTGAATCTTATCCAGTGTATCAACCGTGATCCAACGCTTGCGATGGTGATTCTTTTGGCCCAGAACCTCATGATATGTTGAAGTGATTGCCTCTTTTATCTCTTTTCATTTGCTCTCCATAGTAGTTCCTTCTCCATTGAGTAGATCATAAAAGGCCTGGAACTTATTGCTGAGGGTTATCTTGAATTCATTGAGTTTGTCATTATCCCGAAGGCACATAGGTTGGCAAATCTCTCACCATTTTCGTTTCTTTCTCCCAGTTCATGTCGTCCTATGATGTCTTCATATCCGGTGTTGTCCATTCCAACCTTGGCATTTAAATCTCCCATCAGAATAGTCAGATCCTTTGTTGAGCACTTCTCGACGATCGACTGCAGCCTATCGTAGAATTGATCTTTAGCGTCTTCATTGTAGTCATTGGTAGATGCGTAGCATTGGATGATGTTCATTGAAATGCCTTCTTTCTTTGTTTTGAAGGAGGCTTTGATGATCCTTGGTCCATGAGATTCCCATCCTATAAGTGCATTTTTTGCTTGTTTGGACATCGTCAATGCAACTTCTTGTGTATGTGGGGAATTTTCTTGTTCATAACCTGAGAATAACAGAAATTCTCCTGAAGCTATTCGTTGTTGTCCAATTTGCGTCCGATGTGTTTCACTGTTCCCAAGCACCTCTAGGTTGTATCTCCTCATTTCTGCAGCACTGTGGAAAACTCTCCCAGTCTCCCACATTGTACGAGCATTCCATTTAGCTAAATAAATGGTTGCTCTTGTTGTTAGAAGGGGCACCGGCCCCGCGACTTCCGAAGGAACTCGGCTTTCATCATGAGGCGTCATAATTCTTCTAAACGAAGACCTCCTGACTCCCAGGGCAGAGTTTAAATGGTTTGAACAAGTTTTTCTGGTTAGCATTTTTTTTAGCGAGTTATTTTTCTGCGGAATGGGGTGGCTAACCCCATGTCCAACCCTCCTCTTATCCGGGCTTGTGACCGGCAGTAGCCTTCGGAGGGACTCCAGGCGGAGTTATATATATATATATATATAATCATAAAATAAAGTGAGTTACCTTAAATAAGTATTGATTGTCAAGTTTAAATCTCATCGCTTTTGATAGCTCTTTGACATAGTACATAGGTTTATTCAGTGTCTATTGTCTATAATTTTGGGTGTAAAGAGTTTTTTATTTCATACTATTTACTAATGATATTTTTGCATATTTCATCTTTTAATTCACTACAGATCTCTGTAGAAATGATTGAAACACTACTTCCATTTACTCCAGTATTTTCGAAAAGAATTTTTAATTTGTTAGATGGTAGTAGTGGTGTTCATCTATATAAAATTTATAATTTACCTGCTAGTTCTCAATTTCGGATTATTGTAGATGCGATTGGAACTAACAGTAAGTGATATTAAGATTGTTAGTATTGATTTTAGAACGTGTGTGTACAATGTTTTTCATTTTTAACTATAGAGTTTCATTATTTTTGGTGAATCATAAATTGATTTTCATGGATTTCTTTTACCGTTTAGTGAACTAATTCCACTATTTGCACCAATGAAAAGTTTAGAAGATCCATGGAAAACATGAAGCCATAGGGAAGAGCTGACATAGCTTCAGATCAGCATCTGATTCTGGCTAAGATGAAACTGAAGCCAAGGAAATAATCGAGAACCGGGGAAACAGCATTATACAGGTTCAATACAGCCTTCATTTGAAACACTAACAAACTCAACCAGTTCAAGATTACTCTCAACATCAGATTCCAAGCCTTACAAGACCTACTCAAAGAGAAAACTATTATGGTGAACAACTGGAAAGAGATCAAAAAAGCACTAACTTCAGTATGTTAGGAGGCTCTGGGCCGCAAGAAGCATCATCATAAGGAACGGATCTTTATCGAAACCCTGAACAAGATTCAAGAATGGAAAGACAATAAGATAGCAGTTAACAACAGCCAAACAATAATAGAGAAAGTCAAGGCACAAGGTGAATACACTGAAGCAAACAAGCAGGTGAAGAGGAGCATTAGAAACGACAAGCATAAATACGTGGAAGAGCTAGCAACGACAGCGGATAAAGCTTCAAGAGAAGAAAATATAAGACATTTATATGATACAACGAATAAACTGACAGGGAAATATAGTAAACCATGGAGCCCGATCAAGGACAAAGAAGCCAAGCCAATCTCTGAGATTTAAGAACAGAGGAACAGATGTATAGAACACTTCAAGGAACACTTGAATATGCCAGCCCAACTGAATCCACCAGATATCAAAGCAGCACACACAGACCTTTCTATAGATGTCACTTCACTAACGGTCGAAGAGATCAGGATGACCGGTCATCAGACAAGTCGAGAGTGGGAAAGCAACAGGACTTGACAATATACCAGCCAACACACCGAAGTCAGACAAAGAAGTAACTTCAATCATGCTGCACGTTCTAACCAGGAAGATTTGAGAGGAGGAACAAGTGCCAACGGACTGGAAAGAAGCATACCTCATCAAGATACCGAAGAAAGGAGATTTGAGCAAATGTGAGAATCACAGAAGAATCACACTATCAAAATCAGGAATGGTTTTCAACACAGTGTTGTTGAACCATGATGAAAGATTCAATATACATCCAGCTTTGAGACCAACAAGCTGGATTCCACAAGGACAGGTCGAACATAGACCAAATCGCAACACTGTGGATAATCGTTGCACAATAAGTTGAATGAAACTCGTCACTATACGTAAATTTCCTTGATAATGAGAAAGCATTCGACAGTGTGGATAGGAAGACATTATGGAACCTTCTTCGACAATATAGTATACCAGATAAGATCGTCAATGTCATCCGGAATTCATACGATGGACTACAGTGCACAGTGGTGCAGGCGCCAGTCGCTTAATCATTAAACCAATGAGCCGGGATCCAACAGTGTTAATGTCCATAGGTGTAGGAATATCGTTTGTCAGTGATTGCCAATTGTTTGTGTTATGTTACTATAAAAGATAGTAGGAATATTTCGTTTTACACTGATAAACTAATTATATTGATTAGAGAATAAATATAAAATATTTAATGACAACTACACTTGATACACATGGTGATCATGTGTTGATTTCATGGTTTTAAATTCACTAGTAAGTAATTTTTAACAGATGATTGATTTTCTATATTCATTCTATCAAATATAGCACAAATTTTGTTGGAAAATACACAATTAATAAAAGAAATACAGAAAATTATTGTAGTTCTGGAGTATCAAAAGAAACTTGTAATGACTTCCTTTTAAAGAGATGCATTTTACTAGGAGTTTCACATCATCAACTTAATATTTATATATTCCTGAGACTCATTTGATGTCATTGATTTGAGAAAAATATCATCTAAGTGACTTCAATGGGTTCTAAATGTACATATCTTGGTGAGATTTTTATCTTTGACGGAGTAGAGTTCTGTGTATTCTGTCACAATCTCTCATTATCGATGATATGAAAATCCTGGCTAATAAGTTTGAGGTGGAGTTCTCAATCAATTTCGTTCTACATACACTTACCGTACATCGGAAGTATGCGTTACTTTAGAGAACTCCGTATATTGGTAGTATAGTTTCCCAAGTCAGTTTATTCATATTACAAACCTTCAGAATAAGTTATTGGAATGGATATAACTAATCTATAAAATGTTGTAATTTAACTAAGTTTCAGTCAAATTTTAATCTATGGAAATAAGTTATAATTCACTTTTAAGTTATGGTTACTATTGTTCAATTAAATATTTTTGAAATATGATCCATTTTTTCAGATACATCAATCGGATCTTCGTTTTTGAATGTATGGACAAGTCCTTCTCCATTTCAAAATTCAAGAAATTTTACCTTTAATCCAATAGTTCCAGTATTCAATGGTTCATTATTAGTGAATGTAAAATTTCCAACATTCAGTGGTTATGAAGGTGGTCCATTAAATGGTTTCTATATTGTTGTTGAGAAAAGTTCAAATATTAATCGTAAACGACGTTCGGTTTGTGAGTTTTATTTTGAGTGTATTTGTTCAATGTTTCTTGTGAATGTATCTCACGTTATGATTATTTCAAATCAAGATAGATCGTTCCTTCATCACATAGTATAAATCTCCTAGTATGATACATCCCAACTGGTACTAATCAATAGTCGTTATAAATCAATAAATGTACCCCACTTTCTTTATTTTCATTTTAAATGGTTTATTCATAACTAGCTTATCTTATATCTTCACTAAATTTCTTCTATTTCTGCTGAATTTTCCTGTTTGCCTAGAATATTAGTGAATTTGTATTTTCACAGTTGAACTTACGAATCAATCTAAACTAGACCACCAGTGAAAACCTGGAAGTACTGGACAGCTGTTTCTCCCTAGTGTGGGACTCCCCAGAAGTGCACATCCACGACCCCGCACTCGGGACTCGAACTCAGAACACTCGGTTTTGCGTAGTTGCGCGCTGCTGAGGAACCCCATACAAGGACGAAACGGTCGTTCAGAGATTCCAAATTTTCAATGGTGGTCTATCTTAGATTGACTTGTGAATCCAACTGTTAAAATACTACAATCCCCAAAAATCCCCATACTAATAATTTGTATTTTAACCGATAGAAGACTAGTGTTTTCGACGTTTTTTTCAATCACAAGAGGATGTTAGTTCTATATTTATAAATTGACATAGAAGATTTATTACTGGTTTTGTTTTTAGAAGTGAACAAAAAGGTTGAATGAATGAAGTGCTGAATTCATCTAATGAATGATGATAATAAATCGATCAAATTAGGAACGGTTTATAAAGTAGGCGGGAATTAATTATTCTTTAGTGATAGACAGCTAATCAATATAACTTTAAAAGGTAATTAGTGATAACTACTAATGTAGATATTGGGAATTGCTATTAACAAGTCTGGATAAAATATAATTCGTTTGACAAAATTGAATATTGGACAGTGTAAATGCAGTGTTTTATGTGACCTACTTTCTATCTTCTTTATATGCGATGTGCTGATAGAGAGCTGTAGGAATTCAGAAGTATTTTAAATGCTTATCTTTAAATTTTCCATAAGTCAAGAGTAATCTGCTGAGCAAAACATCCGAAATTCATAGGAAGAGCATCAAGTATATGTACTGACTGTTGGTGTTAGGTGGTTGAAGGTAGTCAACAGATACCCTAGACATAGGTTTCGTACTAGTTGAAAGTTGTAAGCAAGGTATTTCTGCAATCTTGAGGGCACTGAAGCTCTGCGTCATCCAACTTTACATTTCAGGATATTACAACTGAGACATTCAGTGCGCTACTGACTTCTCGTAGGACTGATATACTTCCATTGGTTGATCACCGAATAGTGGCCAATGTACATGTATCATTTACTATAAATGCTAGAAGAAAATGAAATCGATACCTAAAATTAATTTTGTTTAAACCTAGGTACTCCCCAAATGCCCTGGTACGTCTGAGAGCGGGGAGAGCCAGCTCTCTCTCTCAAAATGCTCTTAAGTGGCCACGTGTATACAACCACTGCCAGGGAAGTCCTACTCACTGCCTTCTCGCGGAGGGGCTGTTGTTTACGAAATTGAGAGGAAAAAAGCCAATATCCGGCGCTTTAACCGGACCAGTGGACACAGAGTCCACTTATGAAAGTTGGAAAACCCTGATTCTAAACCAATAGTGCACATGGGCTGCAGGATCCTGAAGGAACAAATGACGTATGAACCAATTATTGGTCACCGACTACCATGGGACTGCATCTCCTGATGTTGCTCCACTGACTTGTGGATTAGACCTTTAGGTCAAAGGCTTGGAGTGTGGCCCCCTAAGAAAACCACCTGCTTCGGTTAGGTCACCCGAGTAGTATTCCAGCCCTCACATATATCGAATGATTTATGTAGCGCATATCTATCTGGTGCCTCCTTGTACCAATGTTTATGTGTTTAAATAAATAAAATTAGGCAGTTTAATGCTAAAACTCAAATGTACTATGTAGAGGTATCGTGTTCATCATATAACCAAAAGTCACATGTCAGAGTTATACTTAACGGTCGATAAGTTCAAGTAACAACAGAATAGTTGTCCATTGTATGGTGATTTTCAATGATTCTTCATTCAACATCAGTTTTTAACGAAAATTCATTTATTATTCACCCCCAATTTATTTCTTATTGAAATCATATAACTTTATACACCAATTTAGTCATCCATTAAACATTTGATCAAATTTGTAATTGAAATATTATCTCTTTTATCCTATCTGATCTATATTTATTCTGATCATTATTCTCACAATTTCCCTTAGCTTATAAGCTTATTCAAGTTAACATTGAATATTAGTCATTTTAACATTAAGAATTTTATTTTATTATTACAAGCGATTCTAAATCCACATACAATAATGTTAAACAATGTACTTTGTCTTATACCTGACCACTTTTGAGATTTTTACTTTGGATATCAGAACTGTAGAACCTGAAGAGGATTTAATTGAAAAGAATATTCTTCGTTTGTATATCTGTGTTTTAATATGAAGGAGGTGGGGCATTTAAACAGTTAACATTATTTTCAGATTGATTTAATTATTCATTCTGTATCGTTTGTTTGGATATTCCGATTGATGTTCACGACCGCAATTAATCAGTCTCTTATTGGCATATGTACATCCTGTGCGAATCACCTTGATGTCGCCTTAAGTCACAAGCATTATAAGCAGAGGTGGATAGTGGCTAGCAGTGGAATCCAGGACACGCGTTTTTTCTATTTGGAACTGGTCAGCTGGATGTATCACTACAGGACATCCAGCTGATTATTTTCACATTTAATTATATTTTAACCGTGAATATTTCTAAGTTTGAATAAAGCCAACACATTTATTAGGTCATTATATTTCATTGTTTCTCATCAGCAGCTTACAAACATATTTTTATTAAATTGTATCGCTGATATATGATTTAATATGAAACAATTGACATGGGTTATAAAAAAAATAACAAGGATAACAAAGATTATCAATAACTCGGCATGATCAGGTGCAAGGTCAATTGGAGATGAACTTCAACAACATCGGAGGGTGCAGTCCAGAGACCGATAAGATTTTAAGTTTACTTAAGTTTCAGGTCACTTGGAAATAGATATATAAGATATGGAGCAATCAGGTTGGTAATTATCTGGAATTTGTAATTGATAGAATGGGTTACGTAATCGTCATAAAAAACTTTCTGTAGGTTAAGTGAATAGAGTGAATGAAAAAGCAGATGAATGAAAGAATAATTTTAGCTTAAATCATGTAATAATTATTGTAGTTAAATTTCATTATTTCATTGAATGACTTCATTCTTTTTATTCTACTTTTCTTTTCTTTAAAAACAAAATAAAAAACAAATATTAGTGAATCAAACACAACTTGGTTTATCAAATGATGCTAATATTGTTTATTATTCCAATGTCAATAATCCATCAGAGATTATTATCATAGGATCTGGTCAAGTGTTTGATTCTTCAAATTTGTCGATTGGCAAAATTGGTTATTCGAATCCATCATTGGAACCAAATCGTACTTACACAGTTTATGCAATCATTCAAAGTGAAGTAGACGGATCAAGCGAAATCACACGTTCACCTCCTGTAGTATTTTTAACTGGTAGTAATAATACTAATATTAGTGGTAGTTCAATTATCCCAACATCTACTTCGATGAAAAACAATCAAACTGATTCTAATAATACACTTGCTATCGTTTTAGGAATTCTATTAGCTCTTGTTCTCTTAGCTTTGATTGGATTAATCGTTTATTATATTTGTCGAAAAAATTGTCAGGTTAGTTAATGTTTTCTTTAATTGTATAAGGTCATTTTGTGTCTAGTTCTGTTTTTAAATAATAAAAAAATATAACTGTTAACGATTATGTAATTATATTAGTTTACCATTGAGGGAAACTTTTGATACGGTTCAATTACAGATTACTGAGTGTCACATCCAGAGATGTTTTCAATCAGCTATTTGGAATTCGACTGACATCAAACAGGACTAATTGAACACTGAATAGTATTTACCAGTGTTATGCTGATGATCGAATTCCACAGGTAAAGGTGAATTGTATAAGTTCATTTTTTAAAATGGGAAGTGGTTTAACAAGTATCAGAATATACTTTTTTACCTGGTTTGATGAAGCTTAACAATAGACGAGATTGAAAATTGTTCATGTTACTTCGAAATATAGATCGATCATACTGTTAGACTCAGAATGATAATTTTGTTTATAGATATGTTAATTTATCATCGGTGTCAGTAGTGAAACAGTCGTTATCAATGTCAGTGGATAATTGTTTTGGTATATGATAAAGTTTTTTCTGGGAGTAATAGGTATAAGTAAGTAATATGGTCAATTAATCAAAATTATACCATTTAATATCAATCCTGTGATTCTAATGGTTGGGGGTTCGCTGCAAGACCTGCAAATCTTGGATTCAATCCCTGAATGGGTCGTGGGTGTGGTATATGCTACTTGTTTTGGTAGATATAAGTAGTATGTAACCAACCAGAAGTGGAATACCTGGAAGCAGAAGATTGATAAGATTCAGTTGAAATGAATACAAAGTGTAATAATAACCGAATTGAAAGAATCATGAAGCATGGTAAACGACAACTGATGGAAGATGTACTAATAATGTATTTAACCTATGGTTTTCATATTTTATGAATGCACTGTCGCTCTGTCGCCTGAACAAATTGTGATAACGCAACAATTTTCATATGTTTAATGGTTTTATTGAAATGATATGATTGTGATGACATTACTCCCCATTTTCACTTCCTCTTTTATTTCTTTTCTCGAAATGTTTTCTTTTATCAGTCTGGTCAATATGTATTTCGAAATTATTCAAAAGATTTACATGTATCTTTTGAGAAAAAATCTTATTTATTGCCTGATTCTTATGCTTGGTGGAGTGTACCACGAGAGTTAGGTGAACCACGATATTTAATCATTGATCCAGAACATGGACCTACAAGTACATTGATTGGAACATGGTCTTTGAATGAATTATTAAAAACATTTTCACGTGAATATTCAAGGTATACAATGTTGTGAATGTTAGGATTGTTTGTTTACTTTTAATTTTTATTCTGTATATACTGAATTACATTTTTTTATATGTTTTTACTAAGGTATGTTTTTTTTTCACAAATTTATTCTTTCTTTTCGGATTACTTCTTAGATAATTCGTAGTGAAAATTGAGCTCTAAATTGAATAAAAGTCTTTTTTGATTGATGTCCTATTGCTGTTAGTGATTAAGAGATGATACCCAGTTTTTATGTGAATATGTATATCGACAATCTGATCATTTATATTGGAATTGTATGTTACTTAGTATAGTACTGTGTTTATTTAGTCAGTAGGGTAGGTTTTAAATGAATCCAAGCTATTTTAAACATTTATTGTCATTTATTATAAGTCGATGCACTTTTATAAGTTTTTATGGACATTTACATGATGTGAAGTGCTCGACGAGTCACAAAGAAACATGTCAAAATTTAATGTTGAACAACGTTCAACTCAGCGTATAACAGTTTTAAACGTTTATTTTTCTAATATTACCTTAATGTGACCCTTTTAGTTACTTCATCTACAAGTGTATTATCTGTATTCAGACAGTTCAACTCTGGTTAAGAGTTCGATGTGGATTTTTGAAATAAAAAAACAAATGTTTAAGTGTACTATGTATTAGGTTTTATGTTCATATAAACGATAGCTATCCTGGTAGGTGGCCTATGCTCCTCCACGAGAAGTAACAGGCGTTGGTAAGTAAGTAAACGATAATTATCAATTCCATTAACTTTTAAGCTGATTTTGCAGTGCAAAACCGTAAAATTATTTTTTAATTGCAAACAAAACAAAGTGTAAGTAATCAGCAGACATTCTTATTGTTCACTAAATTATTTATTTAGTGAAATGATTACTTATATACCTAGTGTAGTGGATGATACTCAAAAGGATATTTGTAAGTAGTGTGTAGCGGAAGGTGATCTTGAAGTTGCAACAATTATTGGATAGAGTGGTGAATTCCAGTCCATCGAAAGTATGGCGTTGGCAGAACACTTGGACGACAGTTCAAATCGTAGATGGATGCAAATGGACGATTGAAGGCTATATGTATGTATTATGTAAATATTTTGTAACTTCACTCAATAAACACACATCCCTCCCACCTGCTGTCGTGTTTTACATTAGTACATAATGAGAAGTCTTGTTTCTTTTCTTGCTTATCTAATGCTTTATGTCGGTTTTCAAGAGCTATTGAGTAAGAAATCCATTCATACCATATCCAACCGATATTTAATTAACAATCTTAACTTGTCCATTTCTTCCGAACATTAAGGTTCTATGGATAAGTAAGTGTAGAAGCTGATAAGAATTTCTTGTAAATATTATTCATTTTTCACAATGTTTTTTTAAAATACACATTAATTTTATTTTTTCTGTTTATTTTTCACTCATTCAAAGTATTCCATTAGGTGTGAAATTTTCTCAATCCATTGGTAATTTAAAAATGAATCTATCAAAAAATCATAGTCATACAAGTTTACCTTATGACCATAACCGTGTTAAATTGAACCGGTTAAATGATTCCTCTCAAACTGATTATATTAATGCCAGTTTTATTGATGGTTATATGCGTAGACGTGCTTATATTGCTACTCAAAGTCCATTTGATATGCTTACTATACAAGATTTTTGGCTGATGATATTTCAATGTAATGTTGCACAAATTGTAATGCTTACCAATTCCATTGAAGATTCAACACTTAAATGTTGTCAATATTGGCCTGAAGTAAGTGAAAAAAGCTTTATTTTAAATGTTTTTTTTCTCTTAGTTTTATAATTGTAATTTGTTTTGATTCTAATTAATTTCTAAATAGTTCCCCATTTTGACGTTGGGTATTTGGAGTGTATCATAATATGAAAAGTTACCAATGAGCTAGCTGTTCGAATTGTGACCGACCTGTTGAACTAACATATTCGCGCTTATTGATCACTGATTAATGGCAGATTTCATGTTTATTTGATATTTTGTGCTAAGCGGATTCAACCACTGATGTGACTCTAGATACACTTTCCTGTTTAGCGCCGTCTAACACGAAACTTAGGTCCAGCGTTTCTTGCCAACCACCTCTAACAACCTACTACCAAAACAATGTGCACACAATATTGAATCACTTAGACTAGTAATCACCGGTTGATACCATAACAGAGAAATACTATGTATGTGTATAAATGTGTAATTTATTATATAAATCAGTTTGATAGATAGCCAAATGATGATTTTGGACAAAATAAAGTCGATAAAACAATCACTCTAATAAGTAAATACTTGAAAATAAATTAGCAAAGACAATTTGTTACTTATTCCTAGAAAAACTAGCGTATATACAAACTATTCAACACAAAATAAACATGATTCAAAAATTTATTCAAAACACTAACACCAACTAAATTATGTAGTCTTTAGTAATTAATATTGATGTGGATTTCCTGAATTTCTATTAGGAAATCATAGTTTGTTGAGTTGATCAAGTTGGAAGTAAAATAGAGTAGTTCTTCGATTATACAGAATGAAAGTTACCCTGTATAACTACGTGGGGGTAGTTATGCTGCAACTGGCACTGGAAAGTAGTTGAGCAATATTGCGAACTGATTGGAGTTGTAAATGTTAATCATGTAATAATGATTAAGTTGTTGAAGATTAGGTTTTCATCACCCTAAAGGTTCTACGTTTGGTCCCCGCTAGCGTCGTGTATGTACACTGCTGACGAGTCTCATACTAGGACACCATAGCTGTTTGGTGCTCACTGTTTTCCAATGGTTGTTCAACCAAGGTCATTCTGCGATTTAAACTATAAACTCAACAATCTCCAAAATTCCTATACATTATAAGCAACTAAAGTTGCGTTGAATAGAATATTCCTATCAGGACATTTAAGTGGAACGTAAAAATATTTACGCTAAGCTATTTGATATTGTTCTACACTACTGACTTTCGTATAGTATTGTATTTTGTATCTGGTTATAAATATCCAATTGGAACGAAGCACCTATTTAGTTCTCTCTAAATGACATCTGTTTATGTTAAAGATGACCTTTGGATTGTTCAAAATGCTGTATAAAACAATCTGAAATAAATTCGATCAGAATTATCTAGCTAGATTTCTACCTACCGTATCAATGAGTTATTATTTTCTCATTATTTTTTAGATCTTAAAAGAATAATTAAGATTGTTGATATGTTATCTTTTTCTACGCATCTTATACCTTGTTTTCCATGTTATTTTTCGTTGAATAAGTTAACTTCTATTTTCATTTTTTCTATATAATTCTCATTACAGATGCCAACACGATCTAACACTAATCAATCGGATTCAAAGTCTACAATTCAATATTTTGGCAATATTATGGTAGAAATAATTAATCGAATTGATTATCCTCATTTTACTGTAAGATACTTTATTGTAACTGAATTATCATCGAATATAAGTCAACAAGTTACACAATATCAATTTTATAGTTGGATAACACCTGATCATGTTAATAATATATCACCATATTTTACAAATATTGATAATACAGTTGAAAATGATCGTAAAATGAATTTATTATCTAATAGTAATTCGTCGAAAAATTCACAAGATTTATTCTGTCATACATCAACTTATGGAACAATATTTAATCGATTAAATTTTATAGAATTTTACTATCGTGTTAAAACTTCTAGTCGTCCAGAAGATGGTCCACTACTTGTTCATTGTTCAACAGGTTTGTAATGTTAACGTGAATGTAACTGAACAATTTAAGTTTTTATATAAGTTTAGTGTTTTTAATGTTAACTGTCCTAATTATAAGAGATTTTTGTTTTAAAACTCTTACTAGATGGTTTTCACAATCTTTTTCATTGTATTCTGAAATTCTTCAATAATATGTACTTACTTTTTTTCTTGTAGTTCATCTTAGGAAGTATGGTACTGTGTAATGCGTAATTTCTTTTGTAAACTAGTTATATTAATTCTAATAATCGGTATTTCGAATATTAATTAACTTGTCATCTATTTCGGATTAACAATAATTTCTATTGATAATCCATGAATAGACATTCAGAAATCAGTAAGTTAATGGTAGGGTTGAGAATTAGTGTTAAATTTCTGAATGAAAAATATATATTCAATACTACTTAAGTTTGATTGTCAGTTTGTAGATATGAAAATATTTATCAAATGATGTGGTTAAGATATGTGTTGTAACGTGTACTCAATCAGTGCCTAATCTGATGTACAACATAAGCTGGTATAGAGGTAATTTGTAAGAAAGCTAGCGGTAATTTAATCTGACCAAGATATAACATCAGTGCATTAGGCCATTGGCTATTGAAATGAACTTCATTGAAAGGTACGGAAATCCTGGTCAAATGTGCGCTTTATAATTTTAATTGACATTTAGTGATTTTAAATGAGATGCATCATGAACCGATTCATGTTTCGGATCGGTTTTACATTGTTAATGACGGACTGACTAATTGATGGTTCAATGATTTTTTGTTTTTGCGAGTAATTAATAGTATGTTTTATTGAATGTATATTTGAGTTTCGTAATTGTCAATCTACAATTTAAAAGTTACTCATTATTCAGTATCATTAAGATGTATAATAGAAGAAAAATGAACATACAATAGTTATCGTTAAACTAATCGATCACTGAGCACTGTAACCGATAGCATGTTTTTTCTATGCTGGTGATCTAATTCCATCAATCAAGTTTGTAATGTGATTACTAAGATAAACAACTGGAAATTATTGTTCACCTTTTTTAGTTTTCACATAGTTGGAAGTAGTGATAAGAAACTATGGATTAGATTAAGAGTATTTTTCTCAGGACTAAGCATTTGCTCTATTGATGAGTCTCAGTCAAGACGAAACCTACATCTAGAATTTCAAACTGATTAACTTTAATTATCTGACAAAATTTATCGTTAGTTTTTCAACCAAAAAATGTAATGTAATGTAATTTGCAATGAATGATTAAAATCATTCCATTTTGTAAAAAGTGCTTTATTTAAACATTTTTTCTTCTTACCATTTCTAATTCATTTATTTTAATTAGGTTTATCTCGTACAGGATTGTATATAGCATTTGATTTATTACTACAACAGGTTACACATGAACGTGTTGTCAATGTGGCAAAATTTTGTTCATCATTATGTAAAGCTCGTTCGAATATAATTCATTCAATGAGACAATTCACATTATTATATGATTTATTATTTGAGGTTATATTAGCTGGTCATTGTATTGTTGACTTGGATGTGCATAGTACTTATAAAATGGTGAGTAGTAGTAGTCGGTCGCATTATTACCTAGTTTTTTAATCCATTTTTTAACATAAAAGTTATTTAAGATATTAACAACTTTTTGGCTACTGGATAATGATTGTCTTAAAATCTAGGATGTTTTCTATTATCTTGATGCTTGATCTTGTTTTCGGGTACGTAGAAATCTAGGGAGATTTGGATGACTCCACAAACTGGGACTTAAGGTCTTCTGTTAATTCATCGACTGCAAATTTTCTGCGAGCAATATTTACAAGATTTGGATGAATTGTATAAACAACCCTAGAATCAACCTATGGATCTTTGGAGTGATTAGTCTATTATATGTTCAAGAATGAAACTTTTAACTGCTTTCCCCCCATTCTTGTAGAACCACACTGGGGCATATTTTCGTATCCGAGTTGAAAGCAAGCGTTGGCTAAGGCCTGTGCACCTTAATCCACAAGAGCAGGTGAACTGGTAGATGCACATGGAGACGACCAAAAAGAGGAAGTTTATCCTTTGCAGATACAGAAAATAAGTTCTTACTAGTGAACGTTAGTCGCAGCTTTGCTATATAGAACGTTCTTTTGATCGCTCCGGTTAACCGATTTATAGTTACATCAGAAGTTTGGTCATAAGATATTCCTTTGAAACGGAATTACTGGTTTCCTTGTTTCAACTTCTTTTCATGTTCTCTTCTATGAACCGGCCTGGATAGCCGATTTGATTAGGCTTTTCTAAGGAATGCAAGTTATTCATCAATGTATTCAGTACTATATATCTGATGTATTCGGTATCACGAAGTGTGATCCCTCTTTCTGCTTTGTGGAACCCAGTCATAGAAGTTGGTCAGCTGGCCATTCCATGTTCGTTTTTTTGTTAATGGATTATTTTAACAACCCGTCACTCCTCCTTGTCAGACTCATATCGAGCAAAGAGATTGAATGGCGCAGCTTATGTTGTAACGTGAAATCTATGGAAGGATGGCATGTATTAAAATAATGTAAAATGTCTACTGAATCAGCATCCTTGTCATAAATGACAAACATGTCATCTATATATCTTTTGTATCGATTAAATCAATTGATAATCGAACTAAGTTGGTTATTTTTCAACTTAGACATGAAACAGTCAACAACGTTGTTACCTGTACCTTCCTTTATTACCAGGGTAGACCTAATTTAAGTACAAACCGTTTTCTTCTAAAAAAATAGACATCGGTTGTTTGAATCTTCATCGGACTAATACCTCAACAGATCGATATCAATTATTGCTTGATCATTTGTATACATAGATTGTCTTTAGATTAGTACATTTATAAGTTTAGCAAACAGATAAAGATGGATGTTTATCATCTGCTCTTGCTAGACCTTTTTTGTATTATATTTGTTTTGCCAACTGTTTCAATTTGAATGCTCAACCAACGTTTAATGACTTATCACAATTTCACTTCTCTCTATATGTGTATGTCGACACAGATGTGTGGAATGGTAAACACACTAGGATTGGACTCCATTGTTTTTCTACGGTTTAGTGAAAGAAAACTGACATGTTTTCTCTATGGTAGAAATTCAATGCAGAATGTTGTATGAGTTAGAAATATTCTCAAGCATTTCATTGTATAAAGTCACAGAAAACTTGAATAGGAAAGAAATTTTTAAAATTCAATTAAATAAAACAATTATGTTATAAAATGTGTATAAGTTAAAAACTACTGCTTACTTTCTGTGGTCTTTATTTTCATTCTTAATTACTTATTTGTTATTTGATATTTATACATAAACAACAATTCTCAAATGATATACATTCAGCGAAGTGGTCAATGGTTCTGTTCTACTTTTCATTTTGTGTTAATTTCCTGTCACTTTGTTGATATAATGTTGGAAACTGGACCGATGCAAGTTTCTGTTTGGATCCCACATTATATATTACATAATATTCACTGGTTTTATCTTCTGGTAGTTATTTAGTCCAATATGCAATCGGCGTTTTTTGAACAATGTTAGTGCAGTTACCTAAAATAACTTGACTATAATATCATTCGAGCGAAAAGAAGTATTACATGAAGTGAAGGAACAATGTATTGAAAGGAATAAAGAATAAGGCATAAAAATTACAAGACTTTTATTCATTAAAAGATAAAGTTGATTTAAGAAAACCACTAAGGTAGATTTCTTTCAGTTAAGAAAGTTCATCATACTTTTATGAGGCATTCAGTAGAGAATTACATCAAGTTCGTTATTTACTTCTATTCAGAGGTATATTTGATGATGTCTCAAAGCCTTGGACTAAACCAAAGTAATGTGGTTTACTGAAGTATGTCAGCCTTAGACCAACAATTGTTCATTCCACGGTTGAATATTTTTGCCATTTATTAACACCATAACATTTCCCTCTTTCCTCGTCTCATTGTTATTATTGTTTTATTGATTACCTATCGAGATAGATACAATTACTGCGATTGTTTCATTGAAAATTTAGATTGAATGATGTGCTCAAATTATTTCCATTTAGGCTCTTCATTAGAATAAGTCTCGAGTGGATGTTTGACACTTGGTAAACTGATTATAATTGTCATTCATTTGTTAAGTTGTTTGGTCAATTGAAATGCCTTAGTTAGCATCCTAGTCAGTTTAGTCAGTAATTTCCGATAAGTTCTTATAAATACAAAACTGATCTTGTAGTGATTTTCACACAATTTCGGTGTAACTTACATCAAGCTTTGATGTTGCCTAGAAAAGCATCAAACACTTAGGTTTACTTAACAACTACTATGTTCTTATTTATGATTATGTAATAACGCTTATCCATAATCCTATCAGGGATCAATCTTCAAGTTTTCAAATCTATTAAAAAGTATGATTTTCAATAGCGTGCTCTAACTGACAATAATTTGCCTGGTTTCCAACACCATAAACTATGTACTCATGAAATATTCATGTTATAATATTATCTAGATGTCGTTTTTTTCTCTTGCTTTAGAAAAAAACTTTTCTATTAAAAACTCGTTCATATAATAATTGTTAAATAAACTTTCGTTAAAATTACTTTTAAGTTATGTCATAAGAATACAAAAATTAATCGATCTTATTTATGGGAACAATGGTCTGTATTACATTTATACACACCATTATTTGATACAAATGAGGAGTTACAAGTTGCTTTGAATTCTTTGAACTTATACAAGAATCGTTACCCTAAAATTATTGATCTACTTCCATCTGAACGTTGGCGTGTTCGGTTACACCGTACAACAACAACAAATAATAATAATTCGCAAACTTCAAATTACATTAATGCTGTTTATTTAGATGGTGCAAGTCTACAAGATGATATTATTTTAACACAAACTCCTTTAAAAAATACTGTAGATGAGTTTTGGTTTATGGTTGAAGAAGAACAAGTAAGTGAATGAGAAATTCTCAGAATAATTCTTTTCTGTTTGTTTTTATTAATGAATGATTAATTGGAAAATCATTATTTTAGAAAGAGAAAAATCTTAACTTTTTAAACTATGTTGTTGATAAATTTACATCGTATTGTTTACTTGGATCTTCCCATTGATGTTTAGAACTGTAAATTAATCAGTCTTTTATTGGCATGTGTGCTTACTATGCGTATCGTCTCTATATTGCCTTAATTTACAAGCATTATAAGCAAAGATGGATAGTGGCTAGCAGTGGAACGTAGGATGCGCGTTTCGTCATACTCGGGACTCATCAGCTGGATGTACCTGCATCTCGGAGTTGATGTTCACTCTGGAACTCGAACCTAGTAACATTCGCTTAAAACATTATCACGTTATACACTTAACTACTGAGTTCTTCATATGTTGCAAAAGTTATATGGTTTTCTTTAAAAGTTACTTCATCACATTTGTTTGTAGAATTATATCAAATTGAAAGGGTTTCAAAATGAATCTTGACATCATTTTTGACAGAACTTTAATATTGTTCAAAGTTAATTTCCTGACAAATTAATAGCTGAAGAAAGACTCAAAAGATAGTGTTTTGCTTCATTATTTTTTTTACACCGTTAAACAGCACAAAAAGTACAAATAAAAGAAAAACTAGCTAAGAATAAAAATATTAGAAAATAAACCAATGTCTAGACAATAACTAATCCTAGAATTAGAATAACACATATAGGCGAACGATATTGTTTTCAATTAGATCGACTCAGGCTCTACTCTTACGTACATGAACATTTATGTTGGTTTATGCAATTACATAACATATATATATATATATATATATATATATATATATATGTTCTGAAAATATTAGTTACAGAATTCATACCGGTTTACAAGTACTATCAGCTTGGTATAGATAAAAATATTAAAAGTAAGGAACATTTTAAATTGCTTGAAGTGTAGTAGTTCAATAATTGTTTTTCATCTGTATCACAATAATGCAAGGCATCAATTGGAAACTATTAATTTTTCTAAGTGTATCTACGGATCGATCATAATCATTTACAACTCAAGGAAATAAAACGGAACCAGAGAACACGGTATAGCCAAAGCAATAATTACTATGATAGATTTATGATAAAACATGTCCCAGTTTATTTTATGGTCTACTGTTTAGTTTGGATATAATTCTAATTAGTTAAGGATACCAGGGTCTCTGTTGGTGTAAAGTATTTTCAGGTGGAGAGGTTTAATTAGTAATAAAAACGATTGAACGTTTAAAGTTTCCTATAGTCTCATAAATCAAATGTTAAATAGATGAAGGCAGTCTGTGAGTCAATGATCAAAGTGTAACAGATTGCATAACTACACATAATAGGTGAAAAGTACAAAGTAATAGTAAAAAGTTGAGTGTACTAATGGTGATGAGAATAAAAAATTTACTAAAGTTCTAGTCAATAGTCCAACATAGGAAATAGGTCAAAATTTGATTTATTGATTAAATAATAATCGTAAGAAATTAATACAATTGTTTTCACAGTTGAAATCACCGGTCGATCTAAGCTAGACCACCATTGAAAACCTGGTAACACATCACGGCCGTTCCGTCCTAATATAGGTTTCTCTAACAGTTCCACCAGCGGTCTGGGGATTAAGCGTCCGCCCTCGAGTCCGAGAGTCCTGGGTTTGATTCCCCGGTTGTAAAGTTGTGGATGCTTATTGCCGAGGAGTCCCATACTAGGAAGAAATAGTTGTGTGCTTCCAGGTTTTCAGTGTTGGTCTAACTTAGAACGGTTCATGATTTCAACGAAGCAAATGTTCTTTGCATGTCGTGATTGAGTTATTCATCTGGCCAACTTCCCTTCCTACAAATTTCGGTTTTAATTCGGTTCTGTAATTTAAGTGTAATCGTAAGCGTTATCAACCAGCTTCTAAAAATAAAATCGCTCATGTTATCGTGGACCTATTTTACCACATATTCCTTTAGGGAAATATTAGGAGCATACATAGTGATCAAACTGAAAAGAAACAATAGTTATATAAATCTTACTTTAAATTGTAAACTATTTTCTTACATAATTGGTGTTCCCATGGAAAGTAAGTACTATCAAAACGTATCACTATTGCATCCACCATATCCGTTTGTTTGCCTAACAACGCTTATCATCGTAGTAACTAAGAAAACGATAGTCTTGTAAGAAGTCTCAAAGAAAGGAAACCACCATTGACAAAATATGATAAAGCGGTTATTATATATATATATATATATATATATATATATATATATATCTTAATAGATGGCTCACATGTGTACTAAATGAAGTTAAAATTTCTAAGATGATTTGCGGACATCTTTGTATGTTCATGTATCTGTCTGAATGTGCGTACACGCACTTCATCAATACTTTCAAGTCGTTTTGTACAAAAATGGTACCTTTGTAAAGAAGTGTTAAATTAATCTAAACTTACTTGTTTGATTAATGATATCGTTGTTTTTATATCGTTTATCTAGGTTTCATGTATTATTGATATGCAACCATTTTCTTATGGTGTTGAAGAAGCTGTCCGATACTGGCCCTTACGTCCTGGTGAAAATATCTCATATCCCATGTTTGATGGTTCATCCAATGAAGAACAAAATAAGACTGACATTCAGTCAGATTTTAGTGAAACACGATCATTTCGACGTGGACCATGGTTAGATTTTGCTGGTGGACAAATACAAATATGTCAACTTGGTTCATTAATTCCTGTTCGTATAAATCCACTTTCCCCGAAAAGAAATTCTAATCATGAAATATATAAAAGACGTTTGCTCATTCGTCAACGCGAAGCCAGTCATTTAAAACAATACAGCTATCAACAGTTTAGTAATGAAAAATCTAAACCCCGTGAAGTTTTAGTCTTCCATTTTACCGGTGGTTGGAATACTAAAATGGATGTAAGTAATTTTATCACTATAATAATACTTACTTACTTACTTCTGTTACTCCACGTGAAGAAACATAGGCCTCCCACCACCATTATAATACCTCATAATTTGTTTGTAAAACTGGTGATAATAGAGATTGGGTTACTGAAGAAAAGCTAATATTTTGTTTATCGATTGGTAGTGGTTTAGAGTTGATTATCTACAGACCCATAATAAGTAACTATCAGTTAACTGGTTACATTGACCCGTCAACTGTTGTAGTCATCTGAATATTCATAAATAGCGCCGACATCTCTGTGCGTGTGGTTAGCTCCACCTCTGCTGGCTAACTTATGAGGAGCCTTTTATATTTGTGTTAGAAACACTAACATGTCTATTAATCCCATCAAATTGTATTTTCTTTCAAAAGATTAAGTATATTTAACGTAAATTCATAAACTTGGAATTTAAGCCTTTTTGACAGAAGTAGGGAATTATATAACATAAACCTATCCAAGTTGATTTTTTCGTGGTGATCAGGTGACTTCTGTCTACTATGATTTTCCATAACTGACTGTTCATTTAGAGCACAAGGATGCTATACAAATAAACGGAACTTTGTGTTGCATCCTACTTAGTCAATATTAATGTAATGGCTGGAAGTCGTTTATTAACCAACTTCTTTAGATAATGTATATGCTAATTTTAACCGTCATATAAGAAATGGCATCTATCTAGAAGTAAATTCATGGTAAATATCATCTTACTCACGTACTTACGCCTGTTATCCCTCGCCAGGTATACTCATTCGACCAGTTGATACCATGTACTATCCGTTCTCTTGATGTCTGCCTTCAATTCCTGGCACCACATGTTCTTTGGTCTAACTACAGTCTTTGCCAATTACTTGCTCAAAATTAAAGTCGATAAAATTGTAGATAGGTTTCAGACAAATTTTTATGGTATACCACGGTAGTTATAACTTTTTAAGTAATATAGGTACAATAGATAATGATTCGTATCGTATTGGCTTTATCAGTCTGTTAATATTTACATACATTTTATGTGTACATATTGTATTTTACAAGCCTATTTTTTCCATTTGATTGTTATTTTTTCCCCTTTTTAGTGGTAATCATTCCGTCTATTCATCCTATTTACATTTTAACCTCATTACTCTAGATCTTGTATTATTTCTTATTTTCGGATGCTTTTAACACCTACGGAGAATTTTTTTTAAAAGTTAAAATTCAGTTCTTTTATGGTAACGCCATTCATTTTTAGTCATATATATTATTCTGAATTTCAACATTGTTCAAACTGGTAATATTTTCATTCCAAGCATCTCTTACCTACTTACACCTGTTATCCCTAATGGAGAAACATAGGCCGCCAACCATCGTTCTCCATCGAACTCTATCCTGGATAATCTTTCCCAGTTGCTATTCACCCCTTTCATGTCTGCTTCCAATTCTCGACATAGTATGTTCTTTAATCTTCCTCTTTTCTGTTTCCCTTCAGGACTTCAAGTTAACGTTTGCTTCGTGATGCAGTTTGATGGTTTCCTTAATGTATGTTCTATCCACTTCCAACGAATTTTTATAATATCCTCTTCAACTAGAATCCAATTTCTTCTCTCCCATAGTAGGCTGTTGTTGATGGTATCCGGCCAACTGACATTCAGTATCTTGTGTAGACAATTATTTATAGATACCCGTACTTTAAGCATCTCTTACTTAATTTTTATTTTGACCAGAATTGAGATTCATGATTTCTAGGATTTTTTTATGTCTCAAATAATAAATATTGGTTTCTTCATTTATTGACTGATTGATTGACTCTATTACTAAGTTTACTCGAGGTGTTCGCCAAATCCTATCATTATTTCATGGGCATTAGTTATCAAAATTATAAGGCTTATTTCCTTATACAGTCATACAAAGAAATGTACATGGACTTTATGTACATTAATGTTTCTATTGTTATTACGAAATTAGCTTAGAATAACAGTTATTTGAATGTTTATTTTTTAATCATCGCCTCTAACCTTATTTTAATGTTTAGTGAAGAATTAGTAGTATACTTTTTAATGTTAATATGTAATACCTTATTAAAAGAAAAGATCTGTAACAAATTTACAATATTTTTTTATTCTAGGTACCCGAATCACGTATAGCAATTGTTCGTTTATTAGAAAAAGTACGCTTAGAACGTGGTACGGGTCCATTGATTATTCATTGTTTAAATGGAGCTACTCGAAGTGGTCTATTAGCTGTATGTTACTTATTGGCAGAAAATATAACAAGAGATCACTACGTTGATCTATTTCATGTTATAAAAATGATTAAAATACGTAGAAAAGCCATTTTAGCATCACCGGTTAGTATTTAATTTATTATATATATTGACTAGTGTAAATTTATAACTGTCGATTATATGAATAAATGATCACGTTTTTTGGAAAACAGTTTCACCATCCACTCATTTCAGCTCGTGAGTAACTGGAGACTAGTGAACAATCAACTAATTTCCACAATCGATTTATATATTTCGTCGTGCTGTTTTTCAACATGTTAATTTTTTTATAATTTATTGTCATGATGTAGCAGTCGAAGGGAATTGTCGATAATTATCATTGTATTAAATGAAATATTGTATCCTAGATCAAATTAGTATATGATTATAATTAGTGTTTTTCAAAACTAAATGCTTTTGCATGTATTTATATGTGTTTAGGGTGCGGTGGGGTAATAGAAATAGCTAAAATCATTAATATTTAGTATTATTTCATTTGAATATTTAAGTGTTGTTAAAGTTACTGTATCAAAGAATATGGGAATTTGGGTTGAAGTACATCTGTCTCAGGACATGTTTCAATAACATTTATCTGTATGTAGCTCAAATTGCTTGATGATAACTCTTTTGGATGGTATAACTTATCTGCCAAGATGACATGTACACTATGCTAGTGAGTCCCACCCTGGTTAAAGGTATTTGTCATTCACCTTCAACCGTCTAACTAAGAAGAAAAGAAATATCGGTTATTGTGTTCTGTCGGTTGCTATGTTAAGCCTATATACCTTATTCTAGCTTCTGGACAGGCCGATTTATCCATTCTTCTTGAATCACGTTTTGACCTTGTTAATTGTTCACTTACCAACCTTGGCTGTTTTTATATGAGCGCATATGTGTGTATACACTTATTATTATAATCATCATGTGTCTGTAACTTATTTTTGTCTGGCTATAAATATTGAGCAACGCTTGGTTAAATGAAGATGGCTCACACGCCTTTCCACTGTGCATCGTTTCGTTTCGCTCCCTTTTATTCGCTTCGTCCCTCTGATTATCTGTCTAGATCAATGATTGTACAAAAAATACGTATTCAAAATCCTTTCTCGTATTTGACTTATTTTAATTCCGTTATTCACTAACGCGAGTTAAGTAGATAATTATATACGAGGATAGGCGATATGTATATATTTCGATAGCACTCATTCAATAGCGATGAACATACAATCTAATTGGAGTCAGATCCCGGGCCACTAAAATTACTTGAACTCATCAATTATGTTACTTTAATATAAGAAATGGTGTATTCACTGTTGATGAGTATTTTAATGTGTTTGAATTGATTGTGTAGTAATATGTTTTATAGGCTATAAAATATCGTTTATAATCTAAACTAAAGAAATATGTATTTCATTTTTCAAAATTTTCATAATAACCGGGAGTTGAGTGGTTAGAAGACATTAAGAAAGAAGTTATCTTTCTGAACATTTTAGCGATTGGGATTAAAAGTGACTCCAAACATTTTTCTCACCAGATCAGTTCGAAATACTTCGTCCGAAATAACCAAAAAAAAATAATTACCGAATATAGATACGGATATTGGTTTCTCAGATATAATCGCTGATATTTTCACAGTTATGGTCTTTTGTTTTAATGTCCTATAACTCATAAACGATAAAAATCATTTATTTAAATTAATTGACTATTTTTCCTCTTTTATTTTTATCTCTAAACCATTTCTTTTTGCCAATAAAATCTTCATGCTTCAGGATCAACTACGTTTTGTGTATCGTTTCTTAATTCAATGGATTAAATATACATTAGCTGAGCCATTGGCCAATTGGACAGTAAGACGATCTGGATTGTCTATGCCATTCTCATTATCAGAGGCTGTATTGAAACAACAATGGGAATGGTCACAACAACTTGTTGGTCATTTACCATCAGATTCACGTATTGGTATATTCTCACATAGTCAATTGCCAATATTAGGAGCAAATCATTTAGGAAGTGCTACATTGAATAATGATCAACCATGTAGAATGAGTAGTCGCAGTAATGATTCACAATCTACACATACTAACGAAGATTATGACACAACTGAAATACCAATACTTTCAACATTGTATCATTATTTCAATGATGAAATTTTAGGTAATCCAAATTTAGATTATCATTTACAAACTAAATCAATAAGGAACAGTATTAATAATCCTTATTGTTACTGATCCAAGTTAGTTTGACTACTTGTAATACCACTACTGATGTTTTATATCACTGAAATCGATATTCTTATCTTCCTTTATCATGTCAACATACATATATCTTATGTTTTATTACTGAAATAAAACAGTTTTATCACTTCGCGAATAGTATTCATTTGTTTGTTTATTTTTTTAAAAAGGAAAATATAAAATCGCTTTTTTTTATCATATTTAAGGTATTTTATTATTACACAAAAAATCTATACTTTCTATTCTATACACTATTTCTTCTATTACATTCATATTCCAAGTGATTGAATTATATGAACCAAAATACAGTATATTATTATATTGAATATTAGTAAAGAATACGGATAGATATATAATGGATTAAAGAGTTTTTCCTCTTTATTTAAAACATTATGATTGTCCCATCATTATTTTAGTACCGTGTCTTATATATATGTATTTAATTTTAGTGTGTGTACAGCACTATGACAATCAAACATTGAGTTCTTAATTGTGTTTACAGTTTTTGATTGGTCATATTCTCTTTCTTTTAAGATTTTGTATTACAGGTTTGTTTCAGTAATAAGAATATTATAAATACATATGTTAACATGAGGATGTAAGTAGTGGGGGGTATAATTTAAAAGTCATTGTCTTTTAATTATAGATATTTTGTTAATAATAATGAATTGCGAGTATACAATATTGGATTTTTTTGTCTAGATGATAAACAAAGAGATAGATAAGTATTCAATGTTCACCTTATTTAAATGTTTTTATTTTTAGTTATTTGGGATCAAGATCAGTTTTATTACTTATAAGTATTAAGATGTAGCTCATAGTATGACAATCAGTGGTATTCATGTTTACGTAATTCATTTTGATTACTTATCTTTACATATTCTATGTTTTCAATTTTTGATGCCCTTAAACTCTGTTGTATTGTTGTTACTTTAAAATGAAATTTTCTTTTTGGTGAATGTTCAAGTATTTACAGTCTTACTGTAGGAATCATAATATTTTTATTATAGTGACATGGAGTGATTATTATTCTTATAGTGTGTGCACGTACATAAGTTTAATGACCTGAATTGATTTCTTCGTCTGGAACAAGAATTCTTAAATATTTATGTAATATATTATTTTTCTGTTAGTGAGTAATCGCAAGGTTCCCGGTTTTCTTGACCGCCATTATTACACAATCAGTATCATTGTACTTTTTACTTTCATTTTCTTTAAAGCTCACTCTTTGGCCTTTTTCGTCTACAAGACAGTATTACACTTCAGGTTTATTGTGTACTGTTGGTTAGGTGTCCACTCTTGTTGAGTTCGTGACACACCATAGTCATGTTGGTTTGGTGGGTATTATGATTTTTTATTTATTGAAAATAAAATGATTAATTATAACTCTCGTAATACTTATTCCTTATTCTATTTAATAAAAGTTTAACATTTCGATTCATATATGTTGGTTGTTTATATCTTATCATTTTTGTTTAAGACTACAATTGATCTGTCTCTTTTAGCATATGTGCATTCTATACGGGTTGCCTTTGTATTGGCATTAAGGTACAAGAATTGTAAGCAGAGATGGATAACGCGATGTTCCAGAGTGAACACCAACTCTGGGATCTATGTACATCCATTCGGTGAGTCTTAAATAGGACATAACGTTCTTCTTGGATTCCCCTGCTAGCTAGCATTGATCTTAGTTTAACATTCTATTGTTTCTGTAGTATTCATTCGACGGATACATATGGGCACCAATATACAATCGATGATAACTATGACAGTGATGATCATCACGGTAGTTCTTATTCTAATAAAAAAATTTTGTTGTCTTGTTTTTCTAGAAAATATTTCTAGTAAACAATAAAAAGTAATAACAACAGGATGTTCTAATAGTAAGATTTTTGTTTCTCTATTAATCCTCAATCTAAAATGCACACATTATCATATATGAATAAGGGGAATTACTATCTAGTTCGTTGAATTGTACTTTTAGCCACCTGTAAGCTAAATGATTTGATATAGGGATGAAGTACATTGTTTCCTATTAAGCAATTGCATACAATTAACGAGAAGCATGTGCTTGAGTAAGGGTTATATTTAAAGCCCATATTTCTAACTGACTTTTTACTATATGCTTTCATCAATAATGCTACGAACATAAACACAGTTATGTTGTCTAATTATGAAGTTAACGATCTTCAAAAACACTGTAAAATGGGAAATCTTTGTGTTCTGGTTTTGAGAACTTATATTTGTCACACACTCGTGTTATAATGTATGCCTTGTCTGCGAAGTTATCCAATGGTGATTATCAATCGTAACGTGTTTCTTCAAACTAACCAAAGGTATTCAAAGCTTAGGATCTTTTGTGATCCTGAAAAGTATAACATAAACAAGATTATAATTAAAACAATCAGTCGCTTTGCTTATTGATCACACACATACGAAGTTAAAGTTCTTTAAGTCACTTTCAAGAAGTAAATTTCCGGAGTACCAATGAATTTTTGATATTGTTGTTTGTAACTAAGTGGAAAAATGGTAGTTTTAATTTATTATTGAATCTGAAAAGTCGATTTCTTTTTATCAGTGAATTCATTGTCATTATGAGAAAAAAATAGTCTGATGGTTTCTTTTCCAGTTTACAGGAGTTAATGAGTTATTGGTGTCGATTAACATTATCACTATTTTCAGAATGTTTTATCTTAGTGTACTGATAAATCTTAGAGATTTTTTTTGTTATTGATGCTTACCAGGCTTGAAAAAATGTCTAATCTTTGTTTACAAGATAAATTGCTACATAGACCTTTTAAAAAATTATTCGTTCTATTATATAAGGTTAGTGTATCAGTCTGTCACTGACAATGTAAGCTACTGAAAACCAACTTGGTCACCTTAAACATCTTGGATTATAAGACACTTGAAAATTTTGGATTCAATATTTTATGCTATCATGTGTACAAATGATGAGAAATTCCAAAGGACGAATAAATATTCACCTGAAAACAACATAAAGTCAGTTTTAAGCTCAATAAACTTGTCATAACTATAACGGTAATGATTAGAAATTAAAATGAAAATGATACCTTAACAAGCAAAATCAGAGAGGTGAAATGAAATGACATTTCTATACAATGTAGTTAAAGAAACATCGAGTTAAAGTTCAGATCACGAACTGTCCACATGTAACTAATCGGACCAAAATGCACTGGATATCTGTTTCATTCTGGTATATAACTCTTCAGAAGTAATTAACCACAAATCGACAGAGGATCAAAGCCAGGGCTATGAGAGAGAGCTTAACCATAAGACTAATGAGTCAGCATTTGACGATGTTCAATTGAAAATTCAACCAGTTCGTAATGTAACGCAGTCCCAATTACACACAAATAGGGTTGATGTGCAACTGCTTCATATCGGATATGGTTTAGTCCCACTAGTTGCGAATAATCACAAGAACTAGAGTTACCTCAAAACTGGTCAATAGTAGGCTTATTGAGATTTTTGAATTTTACAGTTCACATAACGAAATGACTAGAAATTCATTGAAAACTAGGGAACACTGGACGGCTGTTCTATTTTGTTGAGGGACTCCACAGCAATTTGTATCCACGACTCTACGTAGCGTCGAATCCATCTGATCTAAACTATAAAATCTCCCTAATTCCTTTACAGCTGTAAAGAAATAATGTATATTTAAATAAATTCTTATCAAAATAAAGATATACATCCTACAGAGTAATGGAGTTGTTAGATAACTTTTCCAAGTGTATCTTTTTATTCTAATGGACAAAACAAATTTTCTTTATCTTATACTGGCTGATAAAGTACTTCCAATTGTTATTTTGTAGACAGTGACGTTATGTGTTAATCAAAATGAATTGGATTTTTATTCAAATCCTTTTAATTCGAATCAGAAAAATGAAATAGATAACTAGGAAAACTGATTCCACAAAAAAGAAAACAACTTTTAATGCTATGTATAAGAAAGAAGATCGAAGCTATCATTAAAGTCTAAATCGTCTAGCTGTATTCGAGATGTCCATCACATCTTGTGCTACTAATGAGATGTGAAAGTCTTCATGATCCGACCAACCACCAGTAGAAAAAAGATTAAAGTGACCACCCTTGTCTTACACTTCCCTCTATCCACAACTTTGCAATGCAGTCCGTCTTAAGAATTCCATATGATGGTAACAAACCTCTCAGGTACACTATAGTGTTGAAGAAGGTTCCATAAGGTTCTCCTGTCCATGATATCAAATGCTTTCTCGTAGTTAATGAAGTTGATGCATAGTGACGAATTCCATTCACTTGATTGCTCAACAATGATCCATAGTGTCGCTATTTGGTCTGTATACGAGAGATGCTTACAGAATCCAGCCTGTTGATCTTAAAGTTAGGCGTCTATTCAATCTTTCATGCGGTTAAACAACATTTTGTTGAAAAAATTTTCCTGGTGCTGATAGTAGTGTGATCCTTATGTAGTTCTCACACTACTGTGCTCTACTTTCTTTGATATCTTGATGAGGTATATTTCTTTCTAGTTTCTCTACATTTGAACTAAAGTAATCTGACTTATACAGTTTGATAGTTTATAAGTTTCTTATTTAGCCAGATATCTTAATTTTAGTTTCTAATTAAAATTAATAAACAATTTTCTACTCATTTTAATCATTTAACTTTACTTACTTATGGCTATTACTCCCAATGGAACATAAGCCGCCGACCAGCACTCTCCAACCCGCTCTGTCCTGGGTCTTCCTTTCAAGTTCTATCCGATTCTTGTTAGTTTTTCTTATGTCTGTGTTCTTTGGTCTTCCTCTCCTCCCTCGACCTTGAGAATTTCATGTGAGGGCTTGTCATATGACGCAGTTCGGTGATTTCCTCAATGTGTGTCCTATCCACTTCCAGCGCTTCTTCCTGATTTCTTCCTCCACGGGGATCTGATTTGTTCTCTCCCACAGTAGGTTGTTGCTAATAGTGTCTGGCCAACGGATCCGAAGTATTTTGCGTAGACAACTGTTAATAAACACCTGTATCTTCTGGATGATGGATTTCGTATTTCTCCAAGTTTCCGCCCCATACAGTAGAACTGTTTTGACATTTGTATTGAAAATTCCGACCCTGGTGTTGGTTGCCAATTGTTTTGAGTTCCAGATGTTCTTCAGTTGTAAATATGCTGCTCTTGCTTTGCCGATCTCTGCCTTCACATTTGCATCAGATCCACCGTGTCCATCGATGATGCTGCCCAGATATGTAAAGATTTTCACATCTTCCAAATCCTCTCCGTTAATTGTAATTGGATTCGTCCATCTTGCTTTTGCCTTTGTGTATATTGAGACCTACTGCTGCTCTACTGGTCGTCTTCTGCATTTGTTGTTGCGTTTGAAATAGAAGAGCCAGATCATCTTTGAAGTCTAGATCATCCAACTGCATCCTAGATGTCCACTGTATCACGTGCTTAACTTCAGATGTTGACGTCTTCATGATCCAGTCGATCACCAGGAGAAAGAGGAAAGATGAGAGTAAGCAGTCATTTTACTTTACCAGATAAAAATAAATATTCTATGAAGATATGATACTCGGGCCATTATTCAAATTTATTTAAATTCAATGAATGCTGTTTTGTATCATTTTTAATTATTTATGGTATAATGTATTCACATATTCTCATCATTTCTACAGATGAAATGTTTCATGCTATCAATTGTATAGTATAAATAAGCAATTAACTGATTGTTCGTGTTTATTTTTATTAATATTAAATTATCCTATTAACTATCATTAATATTGTTATTTCGTGTTATCAGTCTATCAATATTTTATCAATCTCCTAATTCATTAGAAAAAACTGAAAATAAAACTTGAATGATTGCAAAACGATAGAAATTATGTTGTTTCTACATATAGCTCTTCAAGCCTCATGATAAAGTAAGAACTTGGGATATCAAATTAAATTAAAGATCAAAATAAGTAAGAATCCACAATTACCTTTGAATAATTTAGAGATAGTTGGAAAGTTTAAGTAGAGTTTTCTTCTCTGAGGTGGATGGTTTGGTTGTGGAGCTCTCATCGTTCTTCTGAATGACATTATCAGCATAAATTTCAAGTACAAGTGAATTGTTTGAACTTCGTCACATATGACTCACAGCTTGTTCCTTAGATCTCGATTTCGATCGGTTATTCTTGACCTTTAACCTGTCATTGTTTACTTCATTTTGATTGTATCTTCCATTGATTGGATTATTGGTCCTATATATGTCCATAATTTTTCTGATTAGTTGATAGGTTGGAACGATTTAAATGTGTTTGTTAATTGCTGATTGATCTGAGTGCCAAGCTTCTAAAAATTATCTGGTGTCTTTAGTATTCTCTTTATCCAAGATCTCAACATTTTCCCGGTCGAATGTGTGTCCGCAGTTTTCCACATTCATTGATATAAGCAAGGTT